ATCATTTGATTACTTACACTTTTCCGACAATAACAACGAGTAGAAGTTTGTCTGGCAACCACAACTCCATAACACGAGAGAAGTACAATAATAAAAACTTGGAGGAGGTTCATAATGTTGATATTGTTCTTGACTCAGAGGAGATTGGTCTTGTAAGAGGTAAGTTTCTTGAAAAAAATAACAAAAATAATATAATCTTTTCGTCATTTTTTCGGGACTGAACTCCAGAATATATGACCGAAATTCAGGAATACAGGTCTGAACATTATTTATTTGTTCGGGAACTGGTAACCGGTAACCGAACATTTATTATTTGTTCGAAAACAAGTAACTGAACATTATTCATAGGTTCAGACCTATTTTACTGAGAAAACTAAACCAATTATTATAAGTTTTTTCTGTAAGAGAATAAATTATTATGAGAAAACTATGAAATTATATGTGTGTATATGTATATAGAGAAAGACAGAGAGCATACAAACTGTGACAATAGTAGATGAAGTAGCAGAGACAGTAATCATATTGTCTCTTCTTCTTCTTCTTCTTTTTCGTGGGCTTTGTTAGGGTTTTTTTGGAAGTAGGATTTTTTTAGGGTATGGGGGTTGTATATTCAATGGGTGGAATGTTTTCATAAGGATAATTTTGATATTTTTTGGGAGAAGAAATTTTAAGAATTTCAAAATTTATAAATGGGAGGGTCCAAAGAAATAAGGGGTCCAAAATAATTCATGTAGTGGTAATAACACCACTCATTTGTTATTTTTATGAAAAATAAGTGTCCTAGTAAAGTTTGATTGGTAGAACAAATTCCATATAAAGAGAGGCATCTCCTTAATCAAAAGTAAGGTTGCGTTTAGTAGAGTTTTGTAAATATGATTTGAGAGTATGAGTTATATTTTGAGTTTGTGAGTTGTGGAATTATGATTTGAGTGTAGAAAATTTGTTTGGTTATGATTTTTTAATAGAGTGTTGAATTGAGTTTTGAATTGTATGTGGAATTGAATTTTAAATTGTATGTGGAATTGAGTTTTGAAAGTTTGATATGACATGTGAAATAAGAAAATTTGTTTGGTGATGAGTTTTCAAAATAGTTTTCAAAACTTAATTCAACCTATAATTGATAATCAAACGCACAACTCATAACTCGATATCTGTATTTTTTATCAATAGTCATAACCAAACTATTTTTAAAATACTCAAATAAGTAATTTTTTTGAATAATTTTTTTTCAAATAATTTTTTCTTTGAAATAACTTCTATGTCAATTAATTTTTTTGTCAATTAATTTTTTAGGCCTGTACAAACATTTTGTGCAATACGTTTTTAATATTTTTCAAAAATTTTGTTCAAGTCAACAAGTTTGGAGATTACATATTGATAAAAATTAACAAAAATCAGTTTCTTCAATTTTTTTAAATACAAACCAAAACGTAAACATTACCAAACATTACCAAACATTATCAGCATTTTTTCATTTATTAAGTTTTATTAATTTAATAAAAAAATTGTATCTTTTTGTAGGTTCATTATTGTCCCTCACACCTAACTCTCACCCACCCGTGAAGCTTATATAATTGGGGGCCATTGAGTGATATTTGTTTATAAAATTACCAATTCGCCCCTTTTTCATAGAATGACAGGTTATTATGTAGCAATAAAATGAAAAGGGTAATAGTGTAATTTTACTCATTCAATAGATCCACTCCCTCCTCTGTTGGGTGTCAGTTGATCACTGTTCGATAAAGGAAAAGAAAAAAGAAGCCAAAAACGAGCACAGATTATCAGTGATCAGTATACGAAAGAAATGAAAAATAAATAAGAAAAAAAAATGAACAGTATACTAAAGAAATGAAAAATAAATAAGAAAAAAAAAACCCCCTTATGGACCTGAGCCTTTATATAAGTCAGTATCTCTGCATTTGTTTAACCACACCATCTTCACCATCTCATTCCAACAACTTTAGCAACTTCTTCACCCTACAATATTGACTACATTTAGTGTAGATATCTATGTAAAAGAAGAGATAAGAGCTTTCATAAGAGGTTAGTTTGAACCACACTTGATAGCTTCAGAGCTGAGTTGCAGAAAGGCGAAAAAGCCACCATACGGGACAACCGGCTGGTTATCCGGCCGGTCATCCGGTTTAGCCACCAATTTGCCTTTTGCGTTCAGTTTCGCTATCTGCTGGTTGTCTTTTAGCAGAGGCTCAGTTTGAACGTGGCAAAACCTCTAACCCTACACAACGTCAACAACAACAACAATATCATCGCTATCCAACTGTTGATTTTCTCACATACAATCACGAACAAGCTTATTTAAATTTTGCTAATCGACCAATTGTTACAGGGAGAAAGGTAAATCTACCTTCTCAATTGATCCATTGTTGCTTGGCAGACTGGGTACGATGGGATGATTACCTTTAACTAATTTACCACATAAGGTATATCCCCGTCTTGTATATTTATTTTACCTTCACTTGAGATCTACTGAGGGACAAGTGGAACAGTGCAGTTTGACTTCTTATGTGAAGGGAAAGTAATCACACTAAACCCCCACACTTTCGCACAAATTATTGGAGTTCAAACAAGAGGTTTGCAATGCCATTTTCAAACTGAGGCTCAGTTAGCTAACATTGTTGGTGATCTAACTGATGTTTATACCACAATTTGTGAGAACCGATTTACCGGCACTAATTTACAAGCAAGACATTTAAAACCCCACCTTCGTATTCTTCATCGATGGATAGTTGAAAATGTCACTCCCAAAAAAGGACATTTTGATGTTGTTCCATGTTATAATGTTTATTTGTTACATTGTTTTGAAATTGGACAAACATTAGATTTATGCTACATATTACTGAAAGAAATGATGGTTGCAAATCTTGGTACTCTTAGTGGCCGGTCACTACCTTTTTGAGCTTTGTTAACCAAAATTTTCAAAGTGCATCATGCCAACCTTGAAGGTGAAGTAGATGTGAGAATCACTTCACCAATTTCTGAGTACACAACCAAAACTTACTGGGTTCTATTAATTTTGAAAATGAACCAATACCTGATGAGGAAGAACCCAATGATAATGCCATGCCACCAAATGAACAACCCCAATACTGGACTGATTATTTAGCGTTGGAACAAGAACGGTACAATCAGCGTCTACAATGGGAACAACAAATGGCTAATCAGGTCAATATATTGGGTACTTGGTTCGATGAATTTGCCGCCGCTCAAAACTCACTAATTCAACAATTTGGTGAGTTTCGTGTAGACTCTGGGAGGCGTGATGAAGTGACAAGGAACCGCATTGATCAGATTGACCATCAAGTCACTCAGGTGTACCATCACTACTTCCCTCCACCTCCACCATCGCCTGACAATGATGCTTAACTTGTTTCGATGAGCATTTAAATGGTTCACACATGCAGTGGTTACATTTTATTTTCTTATTTTGTTGTGGTTATTTTGTTTTCTCATTTTGTTGTGATTATTTTGTTTTGTTATTTTGTTGTAATATTTTGTATTAATGTTATGAATAGTAAATTTATTTTTTTGCACTGTAAAATTAACCAGTGACAATGTTATAACAATTTGTGAGTTATATTATGAAATTTAAAAAAAAAATCCGTACAAAAATTAATAAAAAGAAATTAAAATTAATAACAAAGCCTTCATTTCAATAAAATGAAAAAAATAAATTAATAAAAAAATGTCGTCTACAAATTAATAAAAAAATTAAAATTAATAACAAAACCATTATTTTAATAAAATGAAAAAAACAAATTAATAAAAAAAAATTCGGCTAAAATAAAATTAAAAAAGTTAAAAATTAATAATTATACATTTTTTTAATAAAAAGGAAAAAAAAATTAATAAAAACTTATTTTGGTATAAAAATTAATAACAAAACCATTAAGTTAATAACATGAACAAAAAAACAATTAATAAAAAAGAATTCATATGGAAATTAATATAAAATTGTATAGAACAATTAAAGTTGATAACAAAACCATTGTTTCAATAAAATGAAAAAAAAATTAATAAAAAAAAATCGTACAAAGATTAATAAAAAGAAATTAAAATTAATAACAAAGCCTTCATTTCAATAAAATGAAAAAAATAAATTAATAAAAAAATTTCATCTACAAATTAATAAAAAAATTAAAATTAATAACAAAACCATTATTTTAATAAAATGAAAAAAAAACTAATAAAAAAAATTCCGCTAAAATGAAATTAAAAAAAAGTAAAAATTAATAATTATACGTTTTTCTTAACAAAAAGGGGAAAAAATTAACAAAAACTTATTTGGTATAAAAATTAATGACAAAATCATTATGTTAATAAAATGAAAAAAAAAACAATTAATTAAATCAAATTCGTATGGAAAGTAATATAAAATTGTATAGAACAATTAAAGTTGATAACAAAACCATTTGTTTCAATAAAATGAAAAAAACAAATTAATATAAAAAAAATCGTACAAAAATTAATAAGAAGAAATTAAAATTAATAACAAAGCCTTCATTTCAATAAAATGAAAAAAATAAATTAATAAAAAAATGTCGTCTACAAATTAATAAAAAAATTAAAATTAATAAGAAAACCATTATTTTAATAAAATAAAAAAAAAAGTTAATGAACATCATAAACTACAATTTTTGCATGCATCATTCAACCATCAAATTCAACAGAGTGTTTGCCCCTGCATATTATACATTACATCAACAACATATTTAAGTGTCTTCATTCACGTAATTACATTTTGTTGATTGACCATGTGATGATCTTTGTGTTCCCTTTCCTTTAATTTCCATTTAGCCCAATCATTGTCCTTATTGTCAGTTATCCTATAAAAAGAGAAAAAAAATCATTAAATTCACAGTTATATAAAGTGAGCAAAGTTACGTAATAAATGTGTCATAATGATTGAAACTAGTAAAATAATTATACATTTTAAACCATTAGTCACTACGATATTCACTTGCCTTGTTCACATGAAAAATCTATCCATGGCCAACATGATTTTGCCACATAGCAGTAGCAATTGCATCCTTAAAGTTCAATTGGTACGTCAACTCATGTTGTGACATGTCAGCATAGTCAGCTTGGTCTCCAACAAACCCGTTTGCTTCCACTTTTGCCACCATTTCATTATCAACTTCCATAAAGAACGGATCCATATCTGCATGCAAAAGGATCAAATTGTGCAGTATACAATATGCAATCACGAGAGGGCCTTGTCTTGTACACTTGTAATTTGGCATGGACCGCAATATTAGGAATCGCTTCTTCAGAACACCAAATGTTCTTTCTATGACATTGCGTAACGACGAATGTCAATGGTTAAACAATTCCTTAGGTCTTGAATAATGACCGCTATGAAACTCTTGCAAGTGATAGCATTGGAAACGAAATGGGACAAAAAATCTAGGCATGTTCGTGAAACCAGCATCCACTAAATAATATTTGCCTACATGTAAATAATGAATGCACTGTTCTGTCAAATAGATGTACAAAAAAATAATTTCAAAAAATGTACGCACGTTATTTCGTGACACACACCATTGGGTGGGTGTGGGAACTGTAGATCAACTCTTGTAATAGAATCAACTAAAACAACGTTGTCGTGAGCGCTATCGTCCCATCTAGAATTAATAAATGTGAACAACATGTCGAAGTCGCAAACTGCAAGTACATTTTGCGATACCGTAGATTTGCGACCGCGGAATATATTTTGTCTTAAAGCAGAGACCCATGCATCCACCAATGTGCCATCGATAGCACCGACACAATCCTATTTGAAAGATATTTATTTGACATTAAAAGTAAAACAAACTTGGATATTACTTTTATAATAGGAGAAAAAATATATATATCGTCCCTTGTTGTTATTGAAAACTTATAGGACAATCATTAAATTTATACCTTGAACTAGGGAAAAAACTTCCTATCATTTGAATTTTTTGTCGGTATCTCGTCTTGGTTACGTGATTTGATAACCGTTGATTCAAGCTTGCACAGTGCCCGTATAACAATTTTGATGTATTGGCAAATTGTTTCCGTGGAGTGTTGAAATCTATCTGCTAGTAGTCGATGGCGATCGTTTTGTGCGAAAGTGTATAAAAAAATTCCAACTGATTTCTCGACACTGGTGTGCATATGTTCAGTATCGATAAAGTCATTTTGAAGTAAGGCGTCTTTCAATAAAATGAATGCTTGTGCATCCATTCGCATAATGTCCATCATTGTTTCTGGATAGCCATTTAATAAGTTGAAGATGTAATCATCACCTTTGAATGGACAAGTTCGCTGCGGTCGCCTACTACTTGATGCGTTGATATGGTCATGCATGAAAGCAATCATCAAAAAATCCATAAAATCTTCAATAACCTCATCCTCCTCTGATGAGATCTACATTGCATTGTTTTCTGTGTCAGATGACATATTGTTTCGTCTACATCACAGTAAAAGAATAATTATAAAATAATGTTTGACAACATGCTAACACTTACCATTAATGTTTGACAGCAGCATCCACAAAAATATATACGAGAATAAAATTTGTTTAATATGTAGTCATCTTGTAATAACACAACATATTGATGTAAAATAGAAACTACTTAAAAGTTCAATAAAAATAAACATACGAAGATGGAAAAAAAAAAAGAAAAGCATCTCATGGGATGAAAAAAAATGATAAAAAACAAATCAGGAATCATCAAATCATCTTGCAGAACAACAAGGAGAATCGCTAACTCAATCAAAACACAACTTCTCACTTCACCGCAAAGCTAGGATCATAGCTAGGCGCATATAGGTAGGAGTACACATAAAAAACCTTCGTCATTCCTTGTCTTTAAACAGTGTCAGTGTGCTAACGTATTAGACCGGTGGTATGTCCACAAGCTCTAGCAATGCATCTTGACATGCATGAAAAGAATACTCATTACCACCTGCACTTACAGCTTCTGTGTCAGTTGATCATGCACGTGAATGTTCTGTTTTTGCCTGTACATAGGATGTGAAAGTTGCGCACACATCATCGAACCCACTTGACTGTGACTTTTTGGAACGACCACTATCAGTCTAGCTGCTTGTAGGACCCCTCTTGTGATTTTTGCCCTTCATTGGATCCATGTATTCATCGCTAAATAAGTCAATAGGAATGGCTTCAGCAGCATCACTCCCACCAACTTCAGGGTTCCAAAATTTATTTACCATTTCATCTTCTTCATCTGAGTCAAGGGTTCCTTGTGTGTATGCATGAGATAAGGCCCCTATGGCACAACAATTTTCAACAATTTTCGCAATTTCTTGGAAATACTCAAATCCTTTTGTCCTAAACTTCTTTACATTTTTGGTAGCCTACAACAATTAAAAATATTGAATTAAGCATACTGTACGTGTGATGAAATGTTACCAAAAAAAATTAAAAATGGTATAGGTTAATGTAGCAACCCTCACCATTGTTTACTGATAATACCACTGATTACTGCTAAACTGTGACTGAACATGATTAAGTAACTAATTTGACTGACATTCTGAACTGATTGATTGAGTGTATTAATTTAAACGCATTTCTATCTGTTTGACTGTTAATTGATCTGTTTATGTTTTAAGTTTAAACTGCAAATTGAAGGCCTTATCGACGGCCGAATCCGAAACTGATTAGTGTTTTATGCTAATTAGAATTTATGTGATTTTATAGTATGTTTAATTGAAATTTGATTTGGTATGATTAAATTGGATTAAATAAAGTTTGATTACATTAGTTGGCTTATTTACCAAAATGCCATTAAGTAGTCTTTGCTAGACCAATTGTTTAGTCTTGATTTTCATGTATTGGCATCACTCTTCATCACTCTTTTGAGACCAAAAACCGCAGGAGAGAGTGAGAGAGGAGAAGTTTGGTTTCATGTAGAGAATTACTTGGAGAACTTGAAGAATTGAAGAGTAGATTGCATAATTGAGCTTCCATTCTTGAAATTGAGGACTTAAGGTAGGAGAATCATCTTCTTGAACTTTTATTTAAGTTGTATCTTGCATGTTTCATGGAAGTTTGGTGATTAGAGTCTAGATTTGGTTTAAAATGTTGATTTGAGTAGTAGTCAATGCATGCATGTTTACATTCTTGAATTTTGAGGTTGTTTTCATAGAATCCTCACATGCATGTCCATATTTGGGTTATAGTTCATGAATTCATCATGTTTTTTAGTGAATTGACTCATTTGATCAAGTATTTGAAGCTTTGATTTCAATTAAATTCATGCATGTTGCATGTACATCATGTTTTTGAAGTTTTGTTTGAAAATGGGTTCAATTGAACTACTTTTGGGCTTTGATTTTGCAAATTGATCTTTGAAACATGTCATACTATGAGTTTTAAAGTGTTTTTTAGAAAATTAGCCCAAAAGGATCGAATTTTATGCTTTAAAGATTGGCTTTTGTGCTTGGAGACAAATCTGAAAATTTCAGATTTTGGATCCACGCTCGAGCGAGGAACTTCACGCTCGAGCCTACGCTCTGAGTTCATGCAGTCCACTCGAGCGAGTCAAGTAACGCTCGAGCGTGAAATGCGCGTATCTAGTACTTTGCATATGTTCACAGTCCGCTCGAGCGAGGGAATGCACGCTCGAGCGAGGACTTGTGTCTCACGCTCGAGCGAGGGTCGAGCGCCTGTCGAGCGTGAATTTCGTGCATCCAGTACTTTTGCAGTCCGCTCGAGCGAAGGAAGTCACGCTCGAGCGGAGCTCTTTTGTCTGCATGTCCGCTCGAGCATAGAAATCCACGCTCGAGCGAGACCCCTGTTTTCTGAAAATTCTGAAAAGTGTTTTAAAGTGCATCTTTGCGTTCTCATTCCATCCTAGGCATTCCTAGGCCTAGTTTAAGGCATCTTAATGAGGATAATGCTATAGAACCACACCGAGTCAAGATAGGGACTAAGTCATTGATTCCCAAGTGTGTAACTTAGTGTGTGTTCATCCTGTAACTGTGTAGGGTTGGCATCCGAGGACGTTCACTAGCCTATCTGTAGCCCAGAACTCTGTGAGTAACAATGTTGTAAAGATATGTTCAAACATGAATATTTTTTGAAATGATATTTCTTACTGAATGAATGTTTTTCCTATTTGTGAACTGTATTCGTGGCATCCATAGCAATTTACTGTTACTGTACTGTTACTGCTACTGTCACAGAGATCTCTAACGGTTTCCATGTTGGAACCACTACTGTTTACTGTTATGATGGCCATCAACTGACTGTTCGGTCTGTTAAGACCTACTATACTGTTCGCTATTGGATGTACGACATATAACTGTTATGGTTTCTGAATGACTGAAATACTGTTATAACTGACTGTTTTAAATACTGAAAGGACATTCATTCTTAACCTCTTTACGCATATGTTATTCACTGGGTTTTAGCTCACTGTTTATATATATATATATATATATGCAGGTGTCCAAGCACCGGATTGGAGCTAGGAGCGTTGGGTTTAATGCCTTTTTTGTCAAGGCAACCACTGTGCCTCACTGAGAGGTTCCAAGTCCTTCAAGCTAGAGCCTTTTGGGGTGCTTTAGATTCATCATTTCTGCCTCTGTTTTTGTATAGACTGATTGTACCTGTACTGTACTGTACTGTACTGTTCTAATAGGGATTAGGTCCCTGTCCTAGATGATTGTATATGTATGTATATATGTTTTGCTTATGAATGCGAATATGTTCGAAAAAGTCTTTTCGCATACAGACTGTCACAGCTCATTAGACATCTTTCATTTACTGTTTTGGCTTCCGCCAACCCCTATACTCTGTATTACTGTCTTTACTGTTAAGCAGGCCTTCGGTAATCACAGATTACTAGCCGGTTACGGTGCTAAACCCATAGGGGCGGGTTTGGGTCGTGACAGTTAATGAAAAACCTTATCCCAAAACTCATCGGGCGCAACAACAGTTCTTACAATGGAATCCCATTCCAGACCAGTTTGTGCCTGCAGTTGCTTAAACGTCTGGTAATCAGCTTTCAATTGCTGATATTTTTGTTGCTCCTGCTTTGCTGTATACCGAAATCTATACAGATTATGTAACTGATTTGCAAAATGATTCCAATGCCTAATTGTTTACATAGTAGTACGCCCTGTTATTTGATTTTTTTTAACCTCTTCTCTCAACATGTTTATTAATTTCATTTCAATTCTGGGAGTCCACATTTTTGCATCCTGATTGTCATCTAAATTGTTTCCATCCATCTATAAACACACAATTTATATTTAAACTACTTTGGAGTGGATATATATATAAAAAAAAAAATAGAGCAAACTACTCTGGAGTGGATATAAAAAAATAACAGAGCAAAAATCAATTACAATTATTTACGTACGAACCAAAATTAATATTTATTTGAACTTGTTAAATAATGTTAGGAAAAGCAGATGGTTTGAAGGGCAACACAGAGACAAAATAAAAACCACATAACATTAATGTTTATTTGAACTTGTTAAATAATGTTAGGAGAAGCAGATGATTTGAAGGGCAACACAGATACAAAATAAAAACCACATAACATCAATGTTTATTTGAACTGTAGGAAATGTAGATGATTTGAAGACCAAAATAGAGACAAAATAAAAATCAGAAGAATGTTGAAGTCTAGAGCCAAGTTATGGCTTAAAATGTTGAATTGAAGCTTAAATCATGCATGCATGTACATGTTCTAGCATTTTGAGGTTGTTTTCATGGAAATTGTTACATGCATGTCCATATTCTAGCATTGGTCCATGAATTCAGCATGTTTTTAGAAGGATTGACTCATTTGTTCTTGTATTAGAAGCTTTGAAGTTGATTAAATTCATGCATGTTGCATGTACATCATGTTTTTGAAGTTTTGTTTGAAAATGGGTTCAATTGAACTACTTTTGGGCTTTGATTTTGCAAATTGATCTTTGAAACATGTCATACTATGAGTTTTAAAGTGTTTTTCAGAAAATTAGCCCAAAAGGATCGAATTTTATGCTTTAAAGATTGAGTTTTGTGCTTGGAGACAAATCTGAAAATTTCAGATTTTGGATCCACGCTCGAGCGAGGAACTTCACGCTCGAGCGTACGCTCTGAGTTCATGCAGTCCGCTCGAGCGAGTCAAGTAACGCTCGAGCGTGAAATGCGCGTATCTAGTACTTTGCATATGTTCACAGTCCGCTCGAGCGAGGGAATGCACGCTCGAACGAGGACTTGTGTCTCACGCTCGAGTGAG